GTAGCAAGGTACTTGGACTCAGGACCCCAACAGCCTAGGTTCAAATCAAGTATGGTCTATAAATATTTGTTTGTCCACAGTGCCTTAGACACTTTTGGAGGTCAATATGAGTTTAAAACACAGAAATAGAAGATTGTGGAAACTGGCATCTATAGCCTTCCCTCTCTCAAGATCTTTCTGTTTCCATTATTTCCATTATTCTTGATATCCCTTCCCCGATCTCCTGAGTTGGCCAATTCTTTGCAGAGTGTCAAGAAATGGCAAGTTTGGAGGACTAGCTGAGTATGTGTAGTCTCTTGATTTCTGTAGCCAAAGCAGCTGAGATCTGTGTGCTTGGAGCACTGTTTTCCCACCAGCCCCCCTGCTGCTGTGTGGAATGCTCTGGATCTTCGATCAGATCCTGGGAAAGATATTGCTTGCTATATCACCCGGTTCTCTTCAGGAGAAGCCATGAGAGAAACCTCTGCTTCTGTGGAATAATGGAAACCATGTCAATTAAACCCCTGGATTTAACCATATTAGACACCTCCTGTGGAGTGGAGTATTTGTCTGAAGTATTTGTCCTTTGTGACTGGCTTATGTCACTCAGCATAATGTCCTCAAGCTTCGTGCACCCTCAGAGATTGCAGGATTTCCGTCTTTTAGAGGAGACTTGCATTCCACTGTTGTATACACCACATTTTCTTTGTCCATTCACCCACGGTGGACAGTTAAGTTGTTTCTGCACCTTGACCATTGTGAATAGTGCTGTAATGAAAGTAGGAGTGCAAGTATCTCTTTGAGATTTGGATTTCCATTCTTTCAGATAAATACATGTAAATGAGATCACTGGGTCATATGGTTGTCTTTTCTAAAGACTTTCAAGGAACCTCCACTCTCTGTCCCATTGCAGCCGTGCCATTTTGCAGCTGCACCAACAGCGTGCAAGGGCTCTACATCCTAGCCAACATTTATTATTTTTTATTTTTTGTGTTAGCCATCCTGACAGGTGTGGGGTGATCTCTCATTATAATTTTGCTTTGCATAATAATTTCTGTATGCCCCCAAAAGAAAGCGTCATTGAGAGAAATAACCTGAGTGATGCTTATTTGCAAAAAAGAAATTCATCCCCCCCAAAATAAGATACATTTCGCATTCACCAAATTAATTGCCCATTTAGCAAGCATCTAATCAATTGCCTTAGAACTTTCTCAGAAACTGCTGGAAAACATATGCAAGTACTAAGAATACAATATTTAAAGGGATGCGGTTTGCTCTGTGCATTTCAAAAGCACAGCATTGAAGGCCCAAATCCTTATCACGGTGGAGTACAGATCACATGACCCTCTCTCCCAGGCAGGGCTTGCTGCTGGTGGAACACCAACCATACTGTTCCTGGGAAGCTTCTCCCTGCTGACTTGCAAACCTCAGAATGCCCAGCGTCTGTGCAGCTGCAGGGCTGGAAGCCAGGAGGCGGATTTCCACAGCCTGGGGCTTTCCTCATCACACCTGGGCCACGAACTGAACATCTTTTTATTGGGAGACCTTTAAATAGACACTTGTTTTCTGAATCATGTTAAGTTTGTTTTTGTTTTGTTTTTTTTTTTCTTAAATAAAGTGGTATCTAAATAGATGCTTCAGGAAAAAAAAAATTTTTTTTTTTCTACTCCAGGAATTGTCTCTACCTCTTGCTTAGGTTTATTTAGACATGTCCTGGTGTGTTCCACACCTGTTGTACCAGGTAATGAATGGGGGCTACAACAATGTCCTGGGTTAGAAACGTTGGGGGTACCTGGGGGGGGCTCAATCGGTGAAGCATATGCATTCAGCTTGGGTCATGATCTCAGGGTCCTGGGATGGAGCCCCGCTTCGGGCTCCCTGTTCAGCGGGGAGTCTGCTTCTCCCTCTCTCTCTCTGATGCTCCCTCTGTTTGTGCACAATAACATCATTTTCTTAAAAAAAAAAAAAGCAATTGTGCATGTGGGACAATGCATGCCTTAAGCCAGAGTAACACGTGGGCAGGGAAGTCTCGATGCTTTTCTGAAATTAAGCCCTATTTTACCTTGGAAGGACAGCATCCTCCTTTTCCTTGGTGGAGGGGTTCTGTGTGGGGGCTAGAAGCGTGGACAACAGGTGAGGCTGTCCAGCTTCAAGCCTTAGTTTTGACCCCTCCTGGCTTTGGGGTCTGAACAAGCCCCTTCTCTTTTGTGTACTTGGTTTATACCTCCAAAAAATAGAGATGGTGCCCACTCTTGCTGTCCCAGGCTGTGGGAGGACCGATAATGGTTTGGCTCTCAGGACAGGTCCCTCCTGAATATATGCTCCTCACTGAGCAGTTATAATTCCCAAGAGAATAAACAGGGGACATGACTGAGAAGCGAGAACAGTACACCCGGGGCCCCTGGGCCTTGATTACCTGCTTGAGACTAGCATGTCGGAACCCTGTGGGGTGACACTCTCCCTTCTCTGGGACTGGAGTTCCCTTAGAGTTTTTACAAAAACTATTTGACATGGTCAAGAACACAGTTCCATTCTATCTTCCTCCAAAGCTAAAACAGAGTACAATGTTCTGAAGGAGCAGCTTTTGAAAATTGGGTCTGCGGGGGGCCCATGTGGCTTTTTTTTTTTTTTTTAAACAATGAAAGCTGAATGGAAAGGCTTACCTGTCTTGCTGGAGATGAGAGGATTTATGGTGTCTGGTATACAGCAGGCACTCAATTAATGCGGTCTAAACGGATGAGCAGATGAGGGAACCTGCAGTGCTCACCTAGACTTTTTCGTTGTAGCTGGTGTCATGTTCATCCGCTGAACAGCATCTAAAGCGTTTTCCTGAAAGAACCAAATCTTAGACTCCATCCTCTAGTCCCTAGTAACTCCTCTCCTTGAGGCAAATAGAGCGAAACACACACCCTCCACTCAACGGATGGAATTTTCCAAAGGGACAGGAAACGAAGTCTCAAGTGAAGACATTCCAGTTGTGATATTAGGATGGCGCTTCTAGAGATAAGTGTTTGAAGCCAGGAAAAGTAGCATCAGCAGGAAATAATGCATGTGTAGGCCACAGTGGAAATATAGAGAAGCCACACCATGGGAACTCAGACTGTTTTTGTTTTTAAATTTCCTTCATGTTAGCACAGCTGTGGGGATGCCATGAAGCAGGACCATGTATTTCCAGGCCTTCGGTAAGAACCTCGTCCTCTGACCCTGACCACGATCTTCTCCCATAGACGTACCTGCTGCTTCCTCAACTTCAGCCCTAAACTCCCTCCATCAGCACCAGGCACATGTGCAAGCGATGCTGGGAAGAAACCTTGATTTTTCAGAGTTCTGAAGATGCTGAAGAAACTCTTCCCAGGGCACTTCCCCTCAGGCTGACCTTTCTGTCCACATCTTGGCTCTCAAATGAACTTCTCCATCCTACCCCAGCCCCATCCCACCTGAGAGTGCTCTTCTGCCTCCAATGGTTTTGACCTTCTCAAATTTGAAGGTCAGGTCCATGCCAGGCCCATAGTTCCATGATTCCACCAGTTGGCTGCAGAGCTCCAGCTAGTGAGGTGTGGTAAAGTTGAAGAAAAGCTTATTGGAGTGGAGCCAACAACCTCAAGGCCTTAGACACTGGGAGGGAAATCCAACATCCAACGACAATTTGGAGATCCCCAAGAACATGAAAATCCTGTGTTGGGTAGAGCCTGAGAGGCAATTGCCAGAAATCCACCTTAGAAGATGTAACCCAAATGTCAAGGCCCCTCAGATACAGTGATCTTGAGTTGACGATCTGTGGGTTCACCTTCTAATCAGCATCGATGTATTTTCCTGTTTTCTGGTTAAGCTGGATTTTCCATTTGGAGTTTACCTATTAGATAGTTCATCATATCTTATAACCTTCAAATCTCATGGACTAGATTTATTTCTAGAAAAAAAGGCAGGTTTTTCTTTATTCAGATGACTGTGACTGCCTTAGTAAGAGCAGCTCTGTGAACGGTTCCCGGTTGCCATCCTGACCCCTTTCTGCGTGCTCAGAGCTGGCTTCACACCACATCTCAGCCTCAGGGCTACTGAGTCCTCTCTCCCACCTCCTCCCAGGGCACCAGGCCTGCTTCCTTCTCTGCTTTACCTGCCCGCACCTCAGCTGGGACACGGCAAGCCTTCAAAGCTCCCAAGATTGGCTGTAAGGATTTGAAATTGGACACAAGGATTTCATTCTGAGGTTTGCAAGAGGAATGTCATTCTAGGATAAGCCTGGCAGTGTCTTCTGAGCTGGGGTTGCCTCCGAGCATCTGTGTACCCAGCCTGTTACGAGTCGCAGAGAGAGGGCAATGGCAGTTCGCTCTTCCCTGCAAGTGTTTCCAAACAGCTGTCACCAGGGGAGTTTTGACATGACAGTTTCAGAAGGAGCTGGTTTAAGAAACAGAAGCCAGGTGTTAGCTCTACTTCCCCTGTGCCCGCCCTGTCTTTCCACCAAGCATGGCACCATATTAGCACAGCTCCAGCTGCTGGAACAAAACAACGCAGCCTGGGAGGGGGGTCTTATCCGACAGGAAATAATTAATTTATTTCTCACAGGTCTGGAGGCTGGAAGTCCAAGCCCAAGGTGCTGGCAGGGTTGGGATCTGGGGAGAGCTCTCTCCTTGGGCTGTGGACGGCCACCTTCACGGTATATCCTCAGAGGCAGAGACAGAGAAGGAGAGTCCTCTGGTCTCTTTTGCTTCTTGTAAGGACACTAATCCCATCATAGGGGCCCTCATCATCATGACCTCAGGGGGAACCTCATTGCCTCCCAAAGGCCTCACTTCCAAATACCATTACATTGGGTGTCATGGCTTGAAAAAAGGAGTTCTGGGGGGACACGGTCATTCAGCCTGGAGCAGACACCATATGTGCCCTTTGACACCTCTGTCCTCCTTCTTCATCAGCCTCCCCACCTTGTCCTTCCTTGCTTCTCTCTGCATATCACAAGAAGGCTGGGAGGCAGGCTTTTTGGTGGCAGCAATAATGAAAGGATTTATCTTCTTCCCCTTCAGGAACTCCCCGGATGAATGCAGCATGGCAAAAGGCGGGAAGATGGTGGGCAGCCCAGACACTGTGGGCATGAATTATGGCAGCTACATGGAGGAGAAGCACATGCCGCCCCCAAACATGACTACGAATGAGCGCAGAGTCATCGTCCCAGCAGGTCAGAGGCTCATACTTCACTCTGCTCAGTCTTCAAACTGCCCCTTTCCAGAGCCCCATTCCACTTTCTCTTCCTGCTTCTGGCTTCCATCACCCTCACTGGTCTAAAGGAATTTTTGTACATGGAAGCCAGCAGGAGTCTGGCCACCTTGGGTGAGCTGTCCACTGATGTGTGTGTGTGTGTGTGTGTGTGTGTGTGTGAGAGAGAGAGAGAGAGAGAGAGAGAGAGAGAAAGAGAGAGAGAGAGAATGGAAATCCATGAAAAGTGGCCTCTCAAGAGAAGAATTACCCTTTCTCTGAGATTATTTGGTGTTAGGTATTTTTTTTTTTTTAATGAAGTGTTATTCATACTAGATGGTAAGCTTTTGAAAAGAAAATCTTACCTGGCAAAATAAAAAGCTGGGAGCAGTGTATTGCTTGTTCTCAAAGTCAAAAATTCCAGCTATCCCTGGCCTACAATGCAGATTCCGAGAACTGGAGTAATTCTTTGCCACAGAGGTAATTCTAAACTCAAACCAAAGCAATAGCTCTGAATTTGAGGAAAATGCCAGAACTTACTTGTTGAGCAAAAACTGAAGAGACACAGGAGAGATGGCTTACATATAGCTCCTCAGAGGAAATACGCCACATAAACCCCAAAATACCAGGACCACAGTGACAGCTTCATGAGTCCTTAGTTGATGTCAGGATTTTGGTAAGCAGTTTGGAGACACCATCTCAGGAAATCTTGGGAAATAAGAATCCTTATCATGATTTCCCTGATAAAGAAAATGGAGCTCCCAGAGGTCAACTAACTTTTCCCAGGGCCTACCATTAATAAGAGATACAGTCAGAGTTCAGAAAGGCCTTCCTGGTGACTTTGTTCTCTTCCTGGAGGTGCTGGATTCAGTCTTGATTCCTGATACATCCCTGTGGGCTCCCCTCTGTAACTCCTTGTGGCCAGCCATCTGGTCACCTTCTGACTCTGCCTCAGGGGCCTGGACTTACTGTCCCTTCAGCCTGAAACCCCTGATTCTGGGTAGTTCCGTCCCTCTTCAGGGCTTTGTGCAAATGTCTCCTCAGAGAGGCCTTTCCTGAGGCCTCCCCCAACCCCACCACCTAGAGCTATTCCTGAATCCACCCATGGACCTCAGCCCCCACCTACCTTGTTTGTCTTTACAGTGTTCCCTCTCATCTGTCATTATACTGTACATCCATGTTACCGTTTGCTTCCTCCCTCCATACAACCTCAGCCCCCCAAAGGCCCAACGTCCATGGCCAAGCACAAGGCCTGACATGCAGGAGGTACTCAAAGAGCATTAACTGAGGGGGGATTGGATGAAAGGATACCTGTGCATGCGTGAGTTTGCACAAACTTGACTAAGCCTTGCTCCAGGGGTCACCCAAATTCATCTGTGTGAAGTGTGATGGCGAACGGGCTCCAATCCCCTCCATGGTGTGATTCCCATCCCACTGCCCCTTAGTCTGTGTACAATCATGTTCATGGACTTCTGTCGCCTTCCACATAGACCACAGTGTGCGGAGAATGTGGCTGAACATCTGGCTTGGGCTCGTGGCCTGAGTGTCATTGCAGGATTGTCACTGGCAGGGTGGGGGGTAGGTGGTGGTCTTCAGTGAACTGCGTGGAGCTGATTTGGTGTGGTTGATATGAAGGGCGTTGCTCTTGGGGTTCTCTCTCATCTTGAGGCATCTTGTGAGACTTTTACTGAGGACAGCAAGGGTGAAGTCTCATGTGCACCTGATGACAGGGACAAAACAGGTTTTGATGTTGACTTAAAGGCAGTTGATTTTCATATTGGAAGCCCTGTATTTGGTTTGTCACCACAGCTGAGCTACTTACCAGAAATGAATGACTTGCTTCTGGGTCATAGAACAGAAGGTAGCTCCTGCTGATGGGAAAAAATATGGAGATGCAAGTGTCCGAGGCATGTGCCCTGGCTGTGTGGTTCCTAAAAAAAAACTGAGGGAGCAGGGGTGTTCCTGGGGAGGAATGGAGGAGAGGGGTGCTGTTACCTCAGACGCTGTATGGATATGAGCAGGATGAGGTAGGAACCCAAACGGTGCCCACCCATACCTGTCTCTCCCTTAGCCTTGTTTCTTAAGAGTGTCATTTCTGCAGTTCAGGCAAAACAATGTTTTTCATTATTTAAGACAGGAGAACCAGTCTGAGGAGAGTCTTGTCTTTGTTCCTCATAGAATCACAGACCCTGGAGGTAATGCGTGGTGACCCTCACCCTGTTTACTCCTGAGGTCGTATTTCTCTCCGGTGGTCAATGTGCTTTGAAGTCATCAGTATCATTTCCAACAAGGACAGACTTGAGGTTTTCTACCTTAAGTAAAATGTTGAGAAAACAGGAGAGATATTTATATCTCAGTTTAATCAAGTCAAAGCTTCCGCCATTCCTGATATTGTACAGTAGGTGCTCATTAAAATCATTTGGGTGGGTGGAACGATGGTCATGCAGATTGGCTCACACTTAAGGTTTTGTGTAAAGACTGGTTTCATCCCCTGAAGAAAGTCCTCTTTCAGCTGTTCCCTCCTTTGGTTGCTTCACGCCCATACAGGCAGTTAGTCAGTTAGTAGTGTTTGTAAGAGAGTTGGCTGTGGCTGGTTTTGCAAGTTGTGAGTGTTTCAGTTATTGGCCAAGCTTCAGGTGTGTGTGCTCATACAGAGACACACAGATGAACACACACCACACACTCACCCATCCACCCACACCCATCCACCCGCCTGCCACACACACACACACACACACACACACACACACACACACAGCTACATTGCACAATCCAGATAATTCCCCAATGGGGCCATGAGATTGCAAGCCCTGGGGTCAGCTCTGTCAGCTGCTGGGTCTGTACCTTTAGCCCTAGCTCCAGGACCCAGGACCCACGTACCTCCTGCAGGCACATCTTGGCCAGAGAGTGCTCTGCACACACAGATGGAATTCTCCAAACCTGGTTCCACCTGGCCCATAGAGTTCCTACTACTTAAATACATTGATGGACACTCAGAAGTGCTAATCATAAAGATAGCTGAAAAAATTATTTATGTCTAAGCATCTGCTTAAAATGCAGACCTTTAAATCTTGCACAGTTACAAAAGGTGGGTGTCATTTGGCTCCAGGGTGTCAGCAGGCAGTGAGAAGGGAATGCCTTATTCAGTTCATAATTAAGCGTTCATAGGATCAAAAGGAAAGTAATATGGGAAAGATGGCCCATCTATTCATTCTGAGTCTGGAGGAAAATGTATTCTTCAGTTTGTTGTAGGAGAGGAGCAGAGAAGTCATGAGAAAAACATTCAATCAGTGAGACCAGTGGACGTTCCAGAAAGCTCTGGCTTATGCCTATTGTCCTGGAAAAATTGTAGATTGTGCCTCCCCCTCTCAAAGTTCACTGGTTGGACAACAAAACACATTTGTACTTTTTTATTTACCTGCCTGTCTATTTGGTATACATTTGTATGTCTAAGTCTACATCTCATGGGATTGGGATTTTCCTGACATGGTTGTAGATCAGAATGTCATTAAGTGGAATCAGTCTTACAAAGAGCTAAACACGTGTGGCCTGGTAAAATGGCATTTTGTTGGTTGGCTCAACTGGATTTGGATGTCGACTGAAAAATGTTTCTCCATATATGAACAGGACCACTTGCACCAGGGGGGACTTGTGATTTGAAAGTGCACACTTCCAATCCGATCTTAATCTGGATGTGGGGAGGGTCGAGGATCCCACATTGTTGACACACTTTCCACGGGACTCCATGCATACTAAGGCTTGAGATGCTCTAATCTAAATAGAAAGCACCAAATAAATTCTACATGAATACACCTTATCCGTTTTTACCAAATGCAAGCTGGGTTACTTTTAGAAGTGGGAGTGGCCAGGAAGATAGGAAATAACCAACAATTTCACATTGATGTCCCAAATAATTTCAAAAATGAAGAGTCACCCATTTGGTGGGAAGGAATTTTGTCTTCCTAAAGCTTCTCCTTGAGGATGTATTTTTGGGACCTATCATTGGTAGCACACTAATGTAACATGGTGTGACAAATATACTCAAATAAAAAAGAAAAATAAAATAAAATCAATAGAATAGAATAGAATAGAATAAGATAAAATAAAATAAAATAAAGTATGCAGAGACCATGCATCAGGGCATCCACAGGAAAAGCCAGGACAGTTAAAGGCATAGAAGGCAGTGTGAGAGTGGCTCCCCAGGCTCCATTCTGACAGTCTGGACTAAGCAAAGTATGAGGCCCATAGGCATTGGGCTGTATTCCTATCAACAGCCAAGACGACTCGGGCACGATGTAAGCATCTGACTTCCTGGTGTTCCGACATCTGCCTCGTCAATCTGTGAACAGAGATCACTATTGAGAGACAGATGGTCTCCACTACACCATGGGGCTGGTATTCTGAAGCACCTTGGTTTCACGACATCTCATGAAGCATCTGCCATCAGGGATGCTGTCCCTCTCGGTACCAGCTGTAGCTCTGGCGGTCCCTGTAGCTTTTTCCGTATTGACAATGCTCTTGGTGATGTGCTAACCAACAGGGCTAACAAAGAGGAAGGCATTGTCTTCAACCACTTTTTTTAAAAGTTGCAAAATGCTGACCAAAATGCAATAGGACGTCGGGTTTTAGCAGCTTACATCATTTTGAAAGATTTTTTTTTTCTTTGCTCTGTTTTTATTCCCTAAAATGGGTGAAAAAGTGTTGGGCTTTTCAAACGTTTCTACTTTTTTTTCCCTCTTTTTTAAAAATCTAAATTCAGTTAATTAACATATAATATATTTTTAGTTTCAGAGGTTATTGAATGATTCTTCAGTCAAGCATTTCTACTTTTATTTTCTAAATATCCACCTTGAGCATGAGCAGTCCTGGCAACCAGAAGTCTCAGAGATAAAGAGTTGCCACACTCACTTGTTTGCTTCATTCATTCACTCACTCACTCATTCACTCACTCACTCATTCATTCATTCATTCACTGAGTGCTTA